GCAACCCTCGAAATTGGCGACGATTTCGCAGTTCGCAAACCCCAAGGATGGCGAGGTCTAGTCAGAACCCGTTCAAACCGTCATTCCGCTGGACCCCCCCAGCAGCCTTCGCAAGTGGCGGCAGCTTTGCATGTCGCAGCCCCTCAAGGATGGCGAGGTCCAACCTGAAACCGGTCAAAGCGTCACTCCACTAAACCCCCCAGTAGCCCTCGAAATTGGCGACGATCTCGCAAATCGCTGCCCCCCGAGGGCGGCAAGGCCTTATGTGAATCTGCATAGGACGTCACTCCGCTGGACCACCCAACACCCCTCGAAACTGGCGACAGCTTCGCAGATCGCAGCCCCCAAAGGATGGCGAGGTCTGATCTGACCGTTCAGAACACCATTCCGCTGGACCACACCCCCAACAACCCTCGAAAGTGGCGACAGCTTCGCAGATCGTAGTCCCCCCATGATGGCGAGGTCTGACCTGATCGTTCAAAACGTCATCCCGCTGGGCCCCACCCCCATCAGCCCTCGAAGGTGTCGGCAATTCTGCAGTTCGCAGCTTCCCCGGGATGGCGAGGTCGAATTTGATTCCGCGTAAAACGACGCTCCGCTGGACACCCCAGTAGCCCTCTAGTTTGAACCCGCGTAAGACGTCACTCCGCTGGATCACCAGCGGCCCTCGAAAATGGCAGCAATTTCGCCGATCGCAGCCCCCTAAAGATGATGAGGAAATAAGCAGGTTGGCAGAAAGGAGCGAGGAAGGAAACAGGAGAAACGAGGAAGAGGGGGGCGGGAGGAGAAGGAGGTCGCGAGCAGTGCTCTAGCCGCAACGAAAATTCAACGCAGGACGGTCGGGAACATGACCTGCAACCACCACCCCCAGGGTTTATCTCCCGCTGGGGCAGTCCGACTTACATACTATTTTGCCCCATCGTTTATTCGCATATGAATTCGCAGTATCCCATTGGGACCTGGTGTGGGCACTCCCCCTTTCATCGTTGTCAAATGATACTATGCGCGCGCAGTCGTGTTAAATGCTACCTGCGACATGCCCAACCCATCTGCATTAAATGGCAAGGGGAGCTGGTCCAGGATAAATAGCACGGCTGGTGGCAACGCAGGATCTGTCATTGGTTGCGCAAGCTGCATGGGAAGCGCGCGCGCGTCACACAACTCACAGGACAGCAGCATAAGGACGAGGATTGATGCCCCAGGGTCGAAGAGGACATGGGTGTGCAAACGAGGGGGCAGAAAAAGGACGGAAGACGAGCCGAAACATTAGAGCGACACCGGCACTGATACGGTGAAACAAAGACGAGGACGACAACTCAAGAGGCAAGATGAAGAGCGAGTGTGGCGATCGCTCCCCAGCGGCACTCTGGACAAACAGCGCGGCCCGCGCCATGTCGCTCTGGCGCTCCAACCGGGCAGATGCTCATACACACTGCAAGATGCGAGCGAGGCCGAGCTCGCCAGCCAGGTTATCCGCATCCTTCCTGCATCTTGCCGTGCGGGAGCTAAACGCCCACAGGCGCGCCGCCAGGTCTGCGGGCGGCCCGCGGGAAAGAACATCAAACAAATCTGACTCTGCGGAAAGACGTCATTTCGCTGGAGCCCCCAGCAGCCCTCGTACGTGGCGACGGTTTCGCAGTTCGCAGCCCCCCAGGGATGGCGAGATTAAAACTGAGCCTGCTGAACGACGCACCTCTACTGGACCTCCAGCAGCACCCGAAAGAGGCAGCCGTTTCGCAGTTCGCGACCCCCCAGGGATGGCGAGATCAGATCTAAATTTGCGGTAAGGCGTCACTCCGCTGGAACCCCCAGCAACCCTCGAAAGTGGCGACGGTTTCGCAGTTCGCTGCCCCCCCCCCCGGATAGCGAGGTCGAATATGAATCTGCGGCGCGGCGTCACTCCGCTGGACCCCCCAGCAGCACTCGAACGTGGCGACAGTTATGGCGAGGTCGAATCTGAGTCTGCGGCGGGGTGTCATTCCGCTGGACCCCCCAGCAGCCCTCGAACATGGCGATAGTTTCGCAGATCGCAGCCCCCCCGAGGGATGGCACCCCCAGAGGCCCTCGAAAGTGGCGACAGTTGTACAGTTCGCAGCACCCGAGGGATGATGAGGTCTAATCTCAATCTGCGGCGGGGCGTCACTCTGCTGGACCCCCCGGCAGATCTCGAAAGCGACGACAGTCTCGCAGATCGCAGCCCCCCCAGGGATGGCGAGGGCTGATCTGAGTCTGCGGTAAGGCGTCACTGCGCTGGACCCCCCCAGCAGCCCTGGAACGGAATAACAGTTTCGCAGATCGCCGCTCCCAAAGGATGGCGAGGGCTGATCTGACTCTGCGGCGGGGCGTCACTCCGCTGGACCCCTAGCAGCCCTCGAACGTGTCGACGGTTTCGGATTTCGCAGCTCCCCTGGATTGGGACGCACAAAGACATACTAGCACTATATATATATATATGTATATATATATATATTCCTTGCAGGTGCGCTTCCGACCCGAACGTACAGCATACCAATATTGTAGTCAATCGTTTCCCGGGCGGGGTGGCCAGAAAGCGCCCGCCACGACGCATATACTATACGACTTCTCGGTGCGCGCGTCGCCCACTGCCGGGGGGGCGACGCACACATAATGTTAGTAGATTGGGGTGACGCGGATGGATGGCGATGGCTGGTCTGATTCTGCAGCGGGGCGTCACTCCGCTGGACCCCCAGCAGCCCTCGAACGTGGCGACGGTTTCGCAACTCGGAGCCTCCCAGGGATGGCGAAGTCTAATCTGAGTCTGCGGCGGGATGTCACTCCACTAGACTCCCCCCCAGCAGCCCTCGAAAATGTCGACGGTTTCGCAGTTCGCAGCCCCCCCCGGGGATGGCAAGGTCTAGTCTGAATCTGCGGCTGGGCGTCACTTCGCTGGACCCCCCAGCAGCCCTCGAAAGTGGCGACAATTTCGCAGTTCGCGCCCCCCCCAGGGATGGCGAGGTCTAAGCTGAATCTGCGTAAGAAGTCACTCCGCTGGACCTCTCCAGCAGCCCTCGAAAGTGTCGACAGTTTCGCAGATCGCAGGCCCCCCCCCAGGGATGGCGAGGTCACGTAGGACGGCGAGGTAGGAAGCAGGCTGGCAGGCAGGGCAGGAGTCAGGCTGGCAGGCAGAACACGATAGGAGGTGAGAGGCAGGAGGGAAGTGGGAGGAGGAGTGTGCGACCACAATGCTCTATTCAAAACCAGAACCCAATGCGGCAAGGCAGGGGAAAACAAAAACATCAAGTTTCAATAATCACTTGCAGAAGATGAGACGCAATCCACCCGCGCGCGTCGCGTCGTCGCGCGCGCATGCCGGAATCCTTCAAACACCATCGATTTCGTAAAGATTTCGAAATCGATGCTCCCCAAAACGTGCAATCTTACCCGAGACGTACTCAACCCCTCCTCCACGCGAGGCGAATATTCGCACAGTGTGCTCCATACAAAAGAACACATCGCCAGAACTGCACGATCTGCGCTGCCCTCATTTCCGCCGTGCCTCCCAGAAGCCCAAGACAGTACAGTTGCGACAACTGCACAACTCGTAGCCTCCCCAGGAGCCGCGAGGTCTGGGCTGGGTCCGCGTGGCCCCCGACCCCGCTGGACCTCCCGGGAGCTCCCCAAAAGTGGCGACACGTGCGCAATCCGCGGCCGCCCAGGGAGCTGCGAGGCCTCGGGCACTCCGCCACTCCGCCGTGCCTCCCAGGAGCCCACCGGAAGTGGCGACCGTTGCGCACTTCGGCCGTTCGCTCCGTCCCGCCGCCGCTGGCGGGTCAGCTGGAGTCGAGGAGCAGGGGCCCGCCGCGCCGCGCCGCGGTCGCAGGCGCCAGGCCGCGCAGCCCACTCGCTCGAGGATGCTGCTGCGCGCGTGCGGCGCACGTCCAGGACCTGCTTCCCCCTCCTTCGCCCCAAGCCTCGTCGATTCCCTCCGATCTCTGCTGCCCTGTTCTCTCCTCGTGCCCCCCCCCCCATTCTCCTCTTCCTCCCCGCTCCATTCCTTCAGCTTCCTGCTCCTCTCTTCTTCCTTCTCGTGCTGGTGGTCCAAGAGATTCTCGGGGTTGTGGAAGCGGTGCTGGAGGAGTCGCAGGGTTGCTCGGGAACGTGCGGGCGTCAGCGGGCGAGCGCAGCGCTCGGCGCAGTCCGCCATTTGACGCAGGACTCGGCAGGCGCCAGTTCCTCGAAGCCCTCTGACAGTGTCTCGCACTTGCGAGGCCCGGCCTTCGAGGAACGAGAACCGCGCGCCAGGCACGTGCCCACTCCCGGCCCCCCCCCCCCCGGGGCACCAGCTCCGCCCCTTCCTGGCCCGGGAGGTCTCGGCATCAACGACGCCGCACTTGGGGTGCTGAGAGGTTTGAGGTCTTGTGCTGTCCAATGCAGGGTCCCCGGAAATCTCGACCACTTCCCTGGGGCCCGCTTTCCATCCGGTAGAGGGAAACAATTAGGGAACGCCCCCCCCTGCCCCGCAAACTCAAAGTTGGCACGCGCGGGGGAGACTGCGGTCGGGGTGCAACTCATCAGACCCACCTCCAACTTTGAACACTGCGGGGAGGGGGAGGCGTTCACAGATGAATGTGGCATGAGTGTTCGCAATTTTTTTCCGAAGCCTGTCCTGAATCGTTGTTTGACGGCCCTCGAGCACGGCGAGGGCGCCTGCGGGCCGAAGACACGGAAAAACCCGCGCCCGGATTCTCGCAACACGCTGGGTGTCTGGGGAGCTTTGAGGAGGCAGGAGCGCGGGGGGCAGGAGTGACCCTGCCACAAGAGAGGTCAGAGAGATTCAGAGGGCGAAGAAACGAGGCGCGGCCATCGGAGAGGACCTTCTGCACCACCGCAGGGGATCCCACAGTGGGCTCGCGGCGAGCGACAGACCAGCACGAACCCAGGACGCCCAGGAAGGCTGCTGCCGCAGCTGCTGCAGTGCAAGAGGCGAGCTCGCCCCATCGGCGGCCCATCGGCGGCCCGCGCGCGCGCGGGAGGCGCTC